TAGAGAAAAAAAAATATCTACCAAAAGGGGGAATGGACAAACAAAATATATTTCAAAGAAATACACAAACAAGGAAAACATTTTTCAAACAGAAACAATTTGAAACAAACTCAAAGAAATGATAAAGGAAGCACCATGTTCTTACGTGAGAATTTTAGACGATAGTAGGCAATATATAATTACTATGTTACTTCTTTGACCGACGGTAGCTAAAGAACACATAGTAGTTTCCTCATTCCTAAAAGGCCATGTGGTAGCAGACTCACAGAAATTACAGCTAAACACTGTGTGTATGTATTTTATATATATATATAATATATATATATAATATATGGCCTGACGATTGCGTCTAGCATGAAACACTGTTGTCTCTAAGTGTTGACTTCAATGTTGGCTTTTATATTTACACATGCTCTATCTCTGATATTGAGCACATTATCCCATAAATATAGCACACCTTAAGACTATATTTCTTTATATATACATATGATAAATGTCTATTTTTATATTTTTATGGAACATTAAGAATTATTCTCATAATTTTAACCCTGTTACTACTGCTACCATGCTACTACTAAGTAGCAAAGTCTCTAAGCCCAGGAATGCCTATTCCAGCCCTGACACAGTATATAATATTTAGATCCTTTTTCTCTTCCTCTCCACTAAATTTGTGTTATAGATGATCTGTCATGGGGATTGATAATAACCAGATGTTGGTTCTGACTTGACCGTTCGCTGTGTTCTTATCTGAAGTTGTGTGTTGTCATCATTGTTCTTGGGAAAGATAGGGGAGTGGTTTCCTGTTGCCTTCTCTATGGTATTTTTCTTATTCTTTTACCTCTTGTTAGCTGGTTGTTGATTCTTGGATTTCATTTGTCATTTGATAGGTTTTATTTTACTTTCTATTATGTTGTTAAACACTTTCCTCATCAGACGGAAGTGGTGAATGGTAGCTAATTTAGTCTGACACTCCAACAAAAAAAAGAAAGAAAAAAAAAAAAGAAGAAAATATGACTACTATTTTGGCTTGATCTTGTGAATGAAGATTTGGACACTTCCCCACCTCTCAATTCCACAACTGTTGCAGGTCCTCCCACATCAGGTGCAGGAGATATGTGGATTATCCCGCAGGCCAGCATTAGTGATGATTTATAATGGTGTGCTGTGTGGTATGCCCATGGCCAACAGAGGCAGAGGGTTCAGGTCTTGGTTTACTTGTAAGAACTTGTTAATTTTATATTTTATAAGTAAAAGTTCTTTATATCTATTTTCTTTCTTACTCTTTTGTCTTTCAAACTCTTGTTATGATGCTTGTCTTTAGTGATGCATATTTGAGGCTTGTTTTTCTTTGTTTGCATGATCCAGAGTTGACCTGAGCCAGCAATCTGAAGGATCACTGTGCTACGACTACTATATGTCATGTTAACCATTGTATCTTTTATGGAATCATTTGGATTTTCTTGATCAGTTAACCTTATGAAGAATGAAATAAATTATAACAAGTATTATGTTAAATATATATTAAACATAATAAAAGAACATTCAAAATTCTTTTTGAATCTCTGAAAATATTTCCAAACAAAAATTAGTTAAACTAAGAATAAATAATTTTGAAAATGTTTTAAAAAAAAAAATTTAGAATTTTATTTTGACTTTTACATAACATCAACTCCATTTAGATTGATATCAGTATCCTGTGAATGGTTGTCATGTCAACATTTATGTGCTTCAACAAGGTTACATACTGTTTTTTAATTCAGTATTTTCCTCCTTCTAAACTGGTTGCCAACCATGTTTAAATAGCCCATTTTGAATGTTATATATTTCATAGATTATTCAAAAATTCTATCAAAAACAATATTTTTTTATTTTTTTGTTTTAAATTAAGTTTTGGAATCTAAAATTTTTAACTTGTGTTTAATTTAAATGATAAGTATATAAACAGTAAAAAATGTGTTGAATTGTTACTTGATCTGAAATGTTTCAATTATCCAATAGTTTGAAAATTTGATTCTACTGCTGCTAGTATTACTACTAGTGTTGACCTATATATAAACAAAACTTTTGTCACTGACAACAACAGTGTCTTCAGGATTTTTAATGAAATTTGAAAAGTTGTTTTATAGATATTCACAAACATGTCAAGGATTGCTTTTGACAAATCAATATTGATAAGAAAAATTTAAGAAAAATTAATCACTTTTAAGATTTCTTTTTACTAAATATCAGGAATGCAGTGTCTAAAAGAACATTTGATGTTGTTTGTTTGTTTATTTCCAATTCAAAAAAAAAAATTTTTTTTACATTTATAAAATGACCTATATATAGTAACATTTCAGGATAGGAAGAAATTGACTGATATACATAATTATCTTGCTTGTTTTATTTTGACTTTTCCATAATATTAACCCAGCCATTGATTGACCACATTCATTGTGAGCTCTATGATCTTGTTGATGGCTGCATAGTATGCGTTCAGGATTAAAAAAATTTTGAATTCAAGTTTACCTTCTCATAGACTGGGTGCCAACCATGGTTAGATAGCCCAATTCTGATCTACTATTTAACATATAGTTATGGGTAGAAGAAATGGATTCATATCTTTCCCAAGGGTATTTGTGGACTTTTACATATTTGATTGAAAGTAACTTTAAATTTTTTCTAAGTTTGTAAATTTAAAGAAAGGCTTGGTACAAACTATATTAGAAATACATGAGAAAGAAAATGCCTAATTCAATACCGAATAGTATCTTAAATGTTTCTCTTCCACGATGAAACTAATGTTGATAAAGAAATTAAAGAAAATAAATTTTTTTTGACATGTTTTAAAAAAATTAAATATGCATCTTGCAAATGTCCAGTCAAATTCCAATCTCCGTAATATAGTTTCTCTATGCCTGTTTTTTAAAGAAGTATTTCCATGGCAATTGTTCTGATGAACTTTTGTCTATGGTACCTAGACTTTATGAATTTAAGCGCAATACTAGATTGGTGGCAAGGTATCATCATTTTATAGTTGAAATTACTCGATGTAACCGTAAGTTCTATGCTAACAGTTTCTTGTCTTGCACTTCTTTCTTGTGGAACACTCTTACTTTGATCTTCAAAAATTTAAATTCAATGTCAGTCATTATTTTCTGTCCTAATTCCTATTCTTTTATTTTATAATTTTTTTTCTCCTATTCACACTCACTCAATAACCATTTTATTGTTTTGCTAGGAGGCAAAATGATTAAAACTATGATTTATGAATAAAAAAAAAAAAAAAAAATCACAAGACCTGCCTCTTTGGGTACCTTTCAATTTTAAAAAATAAGATCCATGACTATCTTGTTACTTTTTATTCAAATGGAAAGAAAACAAACTCTCCTTTAAAGATTAAGCCATCACTTGTCTCAAAATACCTTTATAACCACTCAAATCATATTTCTCCCCAAATCCTTTTTACTTTCATCTCTGATGTCATTAAATTACTACTTTTTGGCAAAATACTAGAGGCTCTAATCAACTCTGAAATAGTTAAGCATTTCACCTTGCAGGGTCTTCTTTCAGAGGAGCAATATGGCTTTCGCCTTTCTAGGTCAGCTGCTAATGGTTATTGCTGAAAGGGTCTATCAAGCTTTACATAAAAATCAAGTTCAGGTTGTTGCTTTGGATATTTTGAAGGCATTTGACAGGGTTTGGTATATTGATCTTCACAAGTTGAAAAGTCATGGCATTTCTGGACAAATTTTTGAACTGATTTAGTCTTACTTATCTAATTATGAAATGAAAGTTGTCTTGAATGGCCACTCTTCTAGATCTGTTTGCATTAATGCAGGTGTTCCCCAAGGCTCTATTCTTAGACCTACATTATTCCTAATTTTCATCAATGACCTTTCTGTTTTCAACTCTGTATATATACTGAAATACAAAATCATTTTTTCCTGTCTTACTAGTAAGTCTGAGTGGTTTGATAGGGTCAAATTGGCAGCTGATCTAAAAAAATGATCTATATTCTGTTGTTAACTGGGGCAAGGAATGGTTTGTTCGTTTTAATGCCTTCAAAATGAATCTGCTCTCTTTTAATCATCAAAGAGAACCCTTTTTACCTTCCATAGCAGATGCTAACCTCCAGGAGAGTGACTCATTGCACCTTCTTGGACTAATGTTTTCTACAAACATGAAGTGGAAAGATTATATTGAATCAGTTGCTACATCTGCTGCTAGGAAAGTTGGTTCCCTATGTTGTGCTAAACAATTTTTCTCACCAAAATCTATTGTACATATTTATAAGTCTACCATTTGTCCTTTCTTTGAGTATTGCTGCCACATATGGTCTGGTGCTTCTGACTATGTATTTAGAGATTCTTGATAAAATCCAAAGAAGAATCTGCAATGTTATTGGTCCTGACCTGGTATCACAGTTTCAGTCACTTCCCCACCACCATAATATAGCTTTCCTGTGCCTTTTCTATAAATACTTTCATGATAATTTTTCTGATGAACTTGCCTCACTGGTACTGAGACTTTATGATTTTAAGTGCAGTACTAGATTGGTGGCAAGGTCTCCTCATTTTACAGTTGAAAAGGTTAGTAAGTTCTATTCTAACATTTTATTCTATCACACTTCTCGCTTGTGGAACTCTCTTCCAGCTTCTTGCTTCCCAGTCAACCTTGATCTTCACAAATTAAAATGAAATGTTTTCTTAGTTCTTATTCTTTTATTGTCCTCTCTCCTTAATAGTAGTTTTCATCATATTCTTTAATACTCAGTAACTTCCTGCATCCTAGAGGCTTTATTGCTTTGTGTGGGGTGAAATGATTAAAAAAAATAAAATATAAACTGCATCCCTCTTATGTAAATCTTTACCTGAATCATCTGAACTATTTTCTAATGCTTAAATCAGTCAATGTTGTTATACTAATGTGTACATATTGCTTTTCCCTCTTTTTTTTTTTTTTTAATTTAGGTACTGAAAACTCGATTAGCTGTCCGTAAAACCGGGCAGTACAAAGGAATGCTTGATTGTGCAGTCAAGATATGGAAACATGAAGGTATAAGTTGTTTCTATCGAGGCTATATTCCCAATCTACTTGGCATTCTCCCCTATGCTGGTATTGATCTGTGTATATATGAGGTAAGTTCTCACTTGGAATTTTTTTATTATTATATGCAAGTATGTATGTGTTGTGAATCTATTTATTCAATCTGTTGATTGAATTTTGGGGTAACCATTCCACTTTTGGTTGGGATAAAGCTTTCAGTTGACTCACTTTTGTATGTCTTTAAATTGATTCATTATTCTTGAGGAATCTCTTAAAGTAAGAAGTAATAAATCTTTTCATTCTTACTGGGGAGTCTGGATTAGCTAGACAACTTTTATTAATATTATTATTTAGTTTCTAGATTATACTTGAAGTAAACAATGCACACACACACGCACACATCCTGGCTTAAAGCAAGCTGATATCTATCCACACTGATGCGCTGTGATACAGTGAAACAGTCTGTGGATTACGAGATATATATATATATATATATATATATATAAAAAATGTGTATACACTTTGCCAGAGAGTATATTTTCTTTATTAAGTTCCTTGAAGGCTCGGACCAGTAGAAGTAATTCCCACTGTTCGAAAATATAGGTTGCCTACTCGAACATATCTCTTCTAAAATGACATTAGGAATAATAAAATGTATGTGTGTATTATGTTAACTTCAAGGTAAAATATTTAATATCCTGTTGTATTCAATAAGATTAATAAAATAATTTGTTAATTCAGAAAAAAATAATTTACATGATCTCTTCTGTCTTGGAATGAAAAGGAAGAAGATTATTAAGACTATATGTCTCCATGTTTCTGAAGCTAAAAATGGAATAAATGACACCCTTGAGTATGATATGGCCTTATAGGACAGCTATTCCTATAAAAATTTTTTTTTGAGAAGTTGTACCATATTATCTGTTAAAATCTCAATGTTGTGTGTGTGTAAACATGTATATATATGTATGTATTTCGCTAAAATTTCATTGTATTAAAGAATAGGAATTAACCATATATTTAGCCATTGCGTGTTTCTTTCAATTTCTGTTTCAAAACTTATTTTCAGTTTTTAACTAGATATATCTGGTAATACACTTTGTGTTAATTGATCATACTTTTTTGTCTGATATGACTTTATTATATTCTATATTAATAAACTATGGAAATAAAAAGAAATATTGTCTTTCATTAAGGATGAAGAGAGAAACAAATATTGTTGACATATCAAATACCTTTTGTAAACAATTGTTAAAACCTACCTAATTTGAATTTTATTATCTATTGTATTGAGTGTAACTTTTCAATCTTGCTGTTCCAAATAATAGGTCTTTTGAAACATTTCTGAAAAAATGCACTTGTGTATAATATGACCCCCACCTTTTTTGCCTTCAATTTTCATTCAAAATTTCTTGTAATATGCACAAGAAAATATGGTATCTCAAGAAATAACAACTAAGAAACAGTTTTTAATTAAATAATGTATCATTAATGTCTGCTTGTGAAATTTCCTGAAGAGTAACCAAGATATGGACAATATATATTTCAAAATGAATTGCTGAATAATTATCCATTTATGTATTTGCTGATTGCATTGTTTTTTTTGTTTTTTTTTATATTTTAGACTTTGAAAAAAATGTATTTAAGGAGAAATAAAGGAAGTGAAGAACCAAGCATATTTGTGATATTGGCCTGTGGTACAACCAGTAGCACATGTGGCCAACTGACCAGTTACCCACTGGCGTTGGTGAGAACCAGACTTCAAGCACAAGGTCATTATTAACATGTTCCTCAATTATTAAAGAATTACAATGTCAAGGAGATGAATTCTGATTGATTTTTCTGGGGAGTTGTTCATATGATTTGTAATGATCTTGTTAGAGGTACAAAATTTAATTGATATAATAAAAACAGATATAAAAGGAAAAACAACTACGGTAGTTGGCAATATGAAAAGAAAAAGAAAAAATTGAAAAAGAGGGGGGAAAAATACTATAAAATATGCTAACCAATTATCATTCATTAGAGCTTGAGTGAAGAAATTATTGTGCACATTGACTGAAAAAGGAAAACATGAAGAAAGAAAATATTTCCTTTTTATAGTATTTTTCTTTTGTTTTTTTTCTCTTAAATATTTTCTATTTTTTTTTTTATTTATGTATTGCCAACAACTGTCATGGTTGTATTGTGCTTACATTTTTCTTCTGTCTATTTTTATGGCATTAAGTATGATTTCTCATAGAAACTTTGTATTAAGAATGGCATGGATGATAAAGACAGCCACAGATTTGATGTTGATGTTGTTCATTGCTCTGATTAGTTAGACAAGCAAAAACCTCACTAACTCTGGTATGTAATGAAATTATTAGATTATTGCAAAAGTTTGCGCCCAATTAGAAAATTAAAAACAAAATTTTTACATATTCACAAAAAAAAAAAAAACATTTATTAGTCAAGTGCATAGTCTCCATTGATTTTAACAACTGTCTCCCATCGTTTTTCAAGCTTGTTGATGCCATTTAGTCCTTTTAAATTGTTCTGTAGAGACCAGAACAAATGAAAAATCTGAAGGAGCTGAGTCTGAAGAATACAGTGAGTGCTGGAGGGTTTCTCATTTCAATTCTTTAAGATTCTGCAAAGTCTGTTTTGCAAAATGTGGTCTTGCGGCGCTTGTCATGGTAGAAAATGACACCTTTTTGATTTGCCGAAATTGGTGACTTGGTTGCAATACTTCTTTGCAGTTATTGTTTCGCTAGCTGAAAGAAGCTCAAAATGATTTATCGCTCTGCAGTCCCACCAAACAGACAGCAACACCTTCTTTGGATGCAAGCCCAGTTTAGCCATGGGTTCTGCACATTTGCAAGCTTGTTTCCAGTTCTGATTGTGTTGAATTTTATCATAACCAATCCATTTTTCATCACCTGTTAAAGGACTGCTCCTTTTCATGGTATAACAATGAAATCACCACAAAAACACGATCAAACTTGTTCTGTTGCATCAGAGAATGTGTCAAGTTTGGAAACTAACCAAAGTCTCCTCAAATGACAAAAGGCAGTTAGAATATCGATTTTTAAACTCTTAACAATCTTTGACATTGAAATCTTCGAGTTATACTCCATGATGGCCAGCAGAGTGTCTTCATTAATGTCAGAAGATAGATCATTTAGGTTAAAATCACTTAGATGAAATCTGCCAAACCACTTTTTGACTGTTGAAAGAGCTGAAGCATGATCCAAATAAACCTTCTGAATTTCATTTCGTATTAACAATGAAAATTGGGCACAAACTTTTGCAATGATCTGATTTTTTCTGTTCTACTGTATGTCTTCTTTTGCTGGAGAAAATGAGATAAACTAAGAAAGAACTAAAAAAAAAAAAATAGAAATTTTAGCTGCAAAATAATTCTTGCAATTGCATCAAACATGTATAAAGGCTGATAAGCAGCTACATGTTAAAGTTTATTTAAATTTATAATCACAATGTTATGCTCATTGTTACCATGTGTTTTGTACAAATGACGCTTCTAATTAGTCTAATATACATCAGCAGGAATGTGGAATGGCTACAGGATTTCTATCATCTCCTATAACAACACATATATGGGATATGTTTAGGAAATGGTTTTAAGAACACCATTAAAGCCAATCATTTGTTTAAGAGATGTGGCTGACACCTTCACCAAGAAGATTTGCAATTACTCAATAAAATCTTCAGTCCAGTTCAAGATAGAAAATTAAACAAAATAATAAACTTACAGAGGTTCAGAGTTCAAGATATCTGTGCCTATCTGTATGTTGTAAAACAACATTCACCAGATCATATCTGAATTTTGATTGCTGCCATCGATATAATGTAAAGAACAGGGTTGCTCTTGGTGTAAGCCATTGAACCAAATCCATAAATGACGACCCAGATACATACATATCAACAAGATCAAGATTATGAACATTATTCTTCAGACGAACTCTTACTCCTATGAAAAGTAGCAGGTACAATAAAGGTAGATGATAATCATTAGGAGATTGTTCTGGTCTGTCTACCTTACATCAGAGGATCCGCAGTCATCAGGACAGTCTTCAAAAAAAATTTTGCTCTTTAGTGGTATTTGATCTGAGCTAAATCTCCAGCAGATGAGAACATGACCAAGAACTATCTCTATAGCATTCCATGCAGCTTTGGCAGAGAATATAGAAGCAAGATTAGCAGCCTTTTAAAAATAAGGCTTGATCATGCGTAGAGGGAAAGTGTATCACCAATCCATTTGATACAATGTCACAATAATAGATAGAGCAACACTGGAGAATAACTAGATTGAAAGAATCAGAACATATGCTAGGCTCTGAAAGAACAGATCTTCCTATCATTCTGGAAAGCAGAATAACTCTTTACTCTACAGGGATTGAATTTTGATGTTCAAAATTTTGGAAAGGTTATCAAATACGATAAGCACCTAAAGAACACAGGATACAACAGTTGGAAAACAGTGACTGTAATAATCAAGATGAGGATTATTTTCTGTTTTAAATCATTTTACCTCAAGCAAGGTAATAAAGCCACTAAGATATGAAGGGTTACGGAGTGTGAAAAATATGAGAAAAAGAAAAACATTATTAAGAAAATAATACCAGGTAAAATATATTTCATTGTATTATTTATTGTTATTCCTCCTCATTTCAGAAATTATTTTCCTAAAGTTTAGGATTAAATTTAGCATAATCTCTGGTATGAAGTTTTTCGATGAGGATTTATTTTTTACTGTCAGACTAATGTCCTCCTCTTTTCATTATTATCACGTTTTGTGCCATTGTACCCTACAGCTTTCTGCAGGTATTTGCTGATTCATGTAACCATCAGGATTCAGTTCGAAATGTATTTGGATTGGCAGACACCTGAAGAAGGTTGGAGCATACATCAACTGAAACATTGTAATAATAATTTAGCCAATTGATTTCTGTGACATGTCTAGCTTTTCAGTTTTTATTACAGAAATCAATAACAAAAAAAAATTGTAATATTTTAACATTATTACTAAAAAGTGGTTTGGCATGCAAAATGTTTCTAAATTTATTCAAAAATAAAAATGCTGTTGTTGTAAATTTGAGTTGGCAAAACCATCCAAAATTTCTAATTCAATGTATAACAAATTTAAAAAAAAAAAAAAAAAAATTTTATGTGATTTTATTTGGACTTGAATATTTACTGAAGAATTTAACTTTACATTTTTATTTTTTTATTTTTACAGGCAGCAAATCTCAAACCATGTCAGGAATGTTTAAGGAGATTTTGTTAAAAGATGGTTTTCAAGGACTTTATCGTGGGCTTACCCCTAATTTTATGAAGGTGGCCCCTGCTGTCAGTATCAGTTATGCTGTCTATGAACAAATAAGAAAAGCTCTTGGGGTGACCACAACTTAGCACCTCTGTTGATGCTTTCTAGATATATAATGTTATCCTGATGGGAGTAGGCAGGGTAGCAACTTTGTGAGTTAAATCAGTCAGTGTACTGATAAGCCACCATCCTCACAAAGTCACCACCTGGTAACTTCCACTGTTTATTCATTATTGTAAACAAAACAATTATTATTACTAACTCTGCACTTATGGTATGCAGTTTATTTGGTGAAGAGAATTCAAAGAAAAGTTAAAACAAAAACAAAAAAAACACCCCTGATAAGTGGAGTGTTGACCATGATGTAGAAATGTGTAAAGAGAAGAGATGAAAGCTTTCTTTTTATTTTTCTTCTTCTTTCTCCTCTTTTTTTTTTTTTTTTTTAATATTTTAATACATTTAATGTATTTTTTGTTTGTTTTTTTTTTTTTTTTCTAAAGAGAAAGCAAATAATTGCTGAAGGCTTGAACTTTAAATCATGGCATGGTCACCACTAAAGGTTTCTCACTATCACCAGCATTTACCCACATCCCAGACCAGCTTGGCTTAATTAAAGCCTAACCTCTTTTTCCTTATGTAATACCTCTTTCCCCTACAAGTTGTTGTTGGCTGTTGCTTCATCAAATGTGAAAGTTTACTTTATTTATTTCTCTTTGAGAATTTACTGGATTCAAAAAGTCTATCAGTGAGAATGTCTAATTTTTATATAATTGAGTTCACATTAATTTGTTTTAATAATTATTAAAACAAGTTATTTTTTTAATTTTTTTTTTTTGTTTTTAGTTGTTTACCCTGATTTGTTCTTGAACAAGTTAGAATAAAAAATTTTCATTTATCATAAAAAGTACTTTCTCTTTATGGCTTCTAGCTTTTAACTAACAGAAAGAATTTTCTGGTAAAGTGTCAAAGTCTAAAAGTAACTCTGTTTTTAAAATTTAAATGTAAAAAGAAATTGATTTATAAATACTATAATACACTGTTATATAGTATACAGTGTGTAATATATATATAGTTTTATGGTATGAGTAAAAGTATGCAATAACAGCGATTTTGTGTGTATACATATGTTTCATGCTTGAATACAATCTTCTGTCATGAAACAAACTTGCTGACCTTATATATATATATATATATATATATATATTGTACTGAGTTCTCAGATAATCCTGTTATGAAAATACAAGGCAGTTTTCTACATAAGAGACATGGAACATTTTGAGCTAGGTTGCAATGTAGGCTAAATGTTTTATGTATCAAAAGATTAACAAATTTTGTCTATTCTAGATTAATTTGCTATGAAATTTATTATTATAAATTATCATGGACATTTTTCAATTATTGAAAGCTTTTTTCAATAAATGAATGTAAACCTTACAATTAAATAAAAAAAAAAATGAGTAATGATTGACATGTAAATAATTAAATTCTTGAGTAAGTTTTAATAGAATCTTAAGTTATTAATTGATTTTCATTCTTTTGCTTTTAGTTTTTAATTGATCCTTTCAAAGATTTAAACACTTTAAACTGAATATTCAAGATGGTCATAATCATATATTCAGTAAACACTGGTGCAAATCATACATTTCTATAATTAAATTTTTGTCTACAGAATTCTTTTCAGAATTTATTATAATGATTCTAAATATTTAAAAATAAAAAAAGATTCTTATTGGGAAGAATAAATTGAAAAAAATTTCAAATCAGATAATTTAAATTGAGATCCATTTTAAATATTAACCTATTTATTTCCCCTTGATTTAAAAATAATCCATTTCTCCCTCTCTGTCATATATACACATGCCTACACATAATAACAGGAATTGAAAAAAGGGGTTCTGTACAATTACAATTATTTGGTAAATATTTTTTAATACATTTATAATTCTAAGGCAAAGATATAATTCCTGTTTAGACTATAGTCTGTCTGAATTCCTGGTATTAAAATTATTTTAAAAAAAATACTTTCAGGAGAGAAATTGTTAGTGTCACAGATTGCTTACGGTTTTTTTGTAAAACTAGTTCTGTACTTTTGAGAAAAGGTTGGTTTTTTTTTTATTATATATATATATATATATATATATATATATATATATATATATATATATATATATATATATACCTCAAATATTTTTGAAAAATTATTATCTGATTCATTTAAGCATTAAAAAAATAAAAAGTTGGTAAGTAGGAATATAAATGCAAAAAAAAAAATTGTAAAATATTTTTGTACATTAAATATTTTTTACTCAAAATTATTAACTAAGAAGGTACTTTTTCAAATTTGTATATCAGTGCTTTTGTTTCTGGGAAATATTTAGATAAAAGAAACTTTACAATGTTATTATTAGCAAAATATTTTGTTTATAAAGAAATCATTCCAGCTATAAAAATGATGTTTGAAATATTGAGTATAGAATATTTCAACTGTTTTCAATTTTTATAGCTTTAAAATAATCTATTAAAGCATAAATACAGTTATTACAAAACCATTCTCAAAATGGAGGAATATTGTCTCTACTTGTTGCAAAGAATTAAAATGGTTTCCAAATGGAAAAAATCTATATCAAAGAAAAAACAGATATAAATTACAAATAAAATTTTAAATATTTTAAAATTGATTTTAGAATGGAAAGTATAAATGAATATTTGAGATTGATTTTATACATGCAGCATAAGAATTTACAATGTTTCAGTTTGCAAATAAATATCACATATTTTACATAATAAATACAAGATAGATTTCCCAGTCTATATGATAAATAGAAACACTTTAACTTTTGATTTAGATATTTTCACTTAGCAGCTAAAGTGTTTTAAGTTCTATAACTAATGTTTTATTAGATATAAGATATATTGAAGTAAATTTTGGTAATATATTCTAGGAGTGTAAGTAAGGCATAGGTGGTTTGATGATTACCATTTCTTTTTATATATCAAAGGACCATAGCATCTACCTAGCTGGGACCATTTCAATTTAGGTATAAGCAAATATATATTTGTATCCAGTTTGTGGTGCAAAATTATTTTATGAGAACTTGATATGTTTATTTATGCACATAATTACTTTATGTATAATTATTTAATATTTGTATATTTTATATTATCTCATTTGTTTTTGACCTTGTTTACTGCTTAAAAAAAGTCCAGTATAGGTGAAAAATTCTTAGCAAGACAAAAAGCTGTCTATATTTCTGAGATGAAGTATTGTAACTATTTACGCTGTTTGGACTATTGTCCTCATCTTTATTGTCATCTTCATGGCATTTTAGCCATTCTACACTCCCGTCTTTTTAAGGTAATCTATGTTGGAATAAAGGGTTCAGTTCGAAATTCCAATGTATATCACCTGAAGTAGGCTAGAGCATACAATGGCCGAAACATCATGAATAGTCTAAACAATGTAAATAGTATAAAAAGACAAAGCACATTGATATAAGATCTTTGAGTATGTATTTTATGGATATTCCACAAACTGGTGCCACTTTTTAATTAGACATTACCTTGCAAGATAGATTTCTTGATTCCAGTAAATCTATTTGAGAACATCTTTTTGTTTTTCTTGTATTTTGTTTTTCAAAATGAGAGAAAATAAATTTTTGTTTTTCATGACAACTTGTTTAATGTATAGTCAAATCTGAAATACATGAACAAATGCTAAGTAAATGAAATCCAAATTTAGAATTTCAGATTAGTTGCTTAAATATTTTTATCATGTAGAGAGATGTTAGTTTGTCTCTTAAAGAAGAAAACATGTTGTTTTCTTTGACACTATAGATTGCAAATAAAAAAGAAAAAAAAAAGAAAATATAATGAAAGGAATATTAAACATTAATGAAATTATACTTGGTTCAAATTGATATCTTTTTCATATTGAAATGTATGTAGATTTTAATATGTAATATTTGAACCTTTTCAGAATGTAGCATTTCTCTGGGTTTTACTTACCTATTTTTGTTTAGTTTCTTTGATTATTCACAAATGACATGATACTGACCTTAATTAATAATATATAAAATAATAAGCATCTGAATATTATATAAAATGTCATTTTAAATTTACATTAACTTCTGTTATTCATCATTTATTCTATTTCTTAATCTACAATTAACCCTACATACATAGTTTTTTTCTAATGTACATATTAGATATTCATTCTTCAAGCAAGTTTGATTAAATACAAGATTTGCATGTTTAACTTTGTATTGTATTTTTCCGAATTCTAAATCTGGTATTGTCTATCAGGATTAAATTTGTGTCCAAAGTTTATGCTTGTGCTGTTGTTTTGTCAAGTACTTTTGACTGTACAAGAGCACAAACTTTGAACAGTTTACCAGCAATTTTGATCTGAATGCACAACACCTTATTTCAAAATTGTAAAAATACAATATAAAATTAAACAATCGGCCTTTGCCATTTGTACTTAATCAAACTTTTTGGGATGAATACTTGTCTCTCTCTTATATATATATATATATATATATATATATATATATATGTGTGGTGCCTTTAGAGAGCTTTTTAAATTTATACAGGTGTGGTTGAAGCAAGTTTTTTTTTTTTTCTGGTTTTGCAGCGAATTTGAATGTAAAATATTCCTTGAGTGCTTTTGGCTTTATAAAACGTTTTTTCTCTGTTGGCAATCATTATGAAAGCCCAAAGCAATCGGAACACATTGGACAGCTTAATGTTCAAAACCAGAAAGATAGTTGATGCCATAGAAAAATTAAGTAAAAACTAAAAAAAAAAAAAAAAAATATGAGCACTTGAAATTCATTGGCCTTCAACTAAACTTGTATGTATGTATGTGTGTGTGTGTGTGTATATATATATATATATATATATATATATTATGCACACACAATGTATATTCAAATAGTTTTTTTTTTTTAATCTGACATTATTACTTATTACTATAAATGTTATTTTTTAGTAGTGAGTACACATGTTTTAGTTATTATCCCTG